GTCTTTAAGGCGGTTGCTTAGAGATCTTGGATTTAAGTGGCTTAAGGACAATCCGCGACGAGGGCTCATGGAACTACCAAGTATAGCCTTGAAAAGGGTGGAATTTCTAAGGCAATACAATCAAGCCAAGGTTGAGGCCTTATACCAGTTTGTCTTCCTCGATGAAACTTGTATATTTCAAAATGGGACCATAGGTCGCTCTTGGCAAAATGGAAACCAAAAAAGCGTGAAAGCTATTAAAACAGATGGTAAAAGGTATGTACTTTTACACAATTTGCACTATAAAATTTAAAACTAATTTTAGATACATTATATTACATGCTGGAAATGAAAATGGGTTTATTGAGGGTAGTGAAGCGATATTTTCTTCGAAAACAAAATTGAGCGATTACCATGGAGAGATGAACCAGGACAATTTTTTGAAATGGTTTCAACATCAGTTATTAGAAAAATTGGAGAGTCCATCTATGATTATACTGGATAACGCCCCTTATCACAGCATGATATTGAACAAAGTGCCCAACAATGCATGGACAAAAAAAAATATCCAAGACTGGTTGACAAATCAAAACATACCATTTTTAAACACAATGTTTAAAACAGAGCTATTGAGTATTGTTGCTCGGTACATAATGCTTCTTAATTATATATATTTTGGTCGACAGTTTATATTTCTTTTGTTTATTCCTATTCTTAAAATAACTGCTTTTTTAGAAACAAACCACCTAGAATATACGTGATTGATGATTTGGCGGAACAACATGGGCACAAAGTTCTTCGTCTGCCTCCTTACCATTGTATATTTAACCCTATTGAGTTAATTTGGGGCATAGCAAAAGGTTACTATAACAGACATATTGGTAGAGATGGTAACAGTGAAAAAGACTGTATATGTGGAACGAGGCTCTACAAACGGTTACCCCAGACATGTGGAAAAATAGTGTTCGACATACTGAGCAAGAAATTTTTAAATGGTATGAAAGAGAACGAATTTTTGATCGACCAGACATCGAACCTTTAATAATCAACTTTGAGAGTGATGAAGATTCAGATTCAGACAGCGCTGAAGAAAGAAACTCCGACTAACTTTATTGTACAGAAAAAGCTTACACCAGTAGCTTACCTAATTTTAGAATGCATTTTTCTGTATGAATTCTGTAAAATAAATACCATGCATAAAATTTGGAGGACCCCATTTGGATTTTTATTCAGTACCTTTAAGCTATCAATTAAATATGGTAGTTTCATAGTGTCATCTGATCAATAATTGTCATACTTAATGATTATGCAAGTACAGATCTATAATTTTATTATACTATTATTTTTGTTCTCATTTGAGGTTAATATTGCTTATAAACCTAGATATGTAAATAATAAATTTTATTATTTTACAAAAAGTTTGGCAACAATGTAAATTTTTCAACACACCCACCTTGATGACGTGCACGCCACTTTGTTTGGCGTTGACTATAATACGCTACTAACTGAAATGTGACATTATCGATTTGCCAGATCATGGTGTGCTTTGACCAGATCAATGATAACAAATCATTCAAGGATATGATCAACCAAACGCGCTTGTACTTCATGAAATGGCCAAGCATGTTTGATCAAATCGTAAAATATTCACATTAATTACCGATTGAGGCACTGGTAGCGCTTACATTTCCACATGGCAGTCGTTAATAACAAAGTCGTTCGTGAAACTTCTAATAACTCATTACCAAATGAGGAAGAAAGTGAGATTAAAACAGTTTACGCGAAAAAGGTACTCGAGTTCTTGAGTACTATGCGAGTCACGACCGATCAAAACGACAAAAAACCGTGGAGTTCGGAACGTGTTTCACAGGTCAGTACTTCACTCTTAAATTGTATTATCATTCATTTATTGGTAGTCAAAATCGTGTGCACGTTAGAATATTGTTTTCTTCTATTGAACTGTTATATTATTCGACGTATGTAAAACTCGTCGTAATTTTTATTTCATTTTTAGGTTATACCTCAAATGAAGCAGCGTAGTGACTACGCGAGGTAGTAACTTAATTTGTGATATCTTGTATGTTCAGATTTTATTTGTGACACGTTATGGAATTGAAGGATGTTTTAACGTAATTATTTTATTTTAATTTCCTAATGTTACTAATTTGTCAAAATGTTTGTCGTACTTAAAAAACAATAAGTGAGTTTGTAAGATATTCTGGATTTTTATTATATTCTTATGGACACCCTATTTCACGACATAATCAATCGTGGATCACCAAATCGTTAAAAGTTGACGATTATGCGACCATTTCATGAAATGCTCGATCATTTCATGAAATGGACAATTCTACCATATGGTCACATGTCTATAGTTAGCAACGACATTCGACCCTTTTTTGGGGATGAAACACGGGAGCAAGCTTCGGTTTAGATCCGATGGCAGGAATCGTCTGAAAGCGACTTTCCTCGTAGTGTGGGAACCCTAGGTACAGACGGTATTCAGACGTTGGAAGATACGTCAATGGTGGAGTTTGCCACAAATATCTTGGCGAGTACTTCTGTAGTGGTCTTGGAGTTGATCAAAATTGTTTCGTCCTAGCACGTCAGCAATGGAGAGTTATGTGCGAATAATCTATGGTCAGTATCTAAGAAGAGCAACCTATACCACTGAACTGCGACATTATCCTGTGTTTAACTTAAAGATAGTGCTGATATAATCAAGCCGAATAGCACAGCAACCCTCTGTTGCGTGATTCAGTAGACGACACAGTCGAGCAAGTTCGCAAACATTCCAGGCCGCGCCTCGCACTATGATCAAAATTAAATTGTAAATTCAGACCAGCCTATTTCAGTATATAAAACCGATCAAAATTATGTTTTGGAGCTACAAAATAATTCGACTAGTCAAAGCAATAATGTTTAAGCTATTTCAAATGATTTACTCCTTTTCTTTTCTCTATTTGTTCCTTCCTTTCTTTCCTTCTTTCCCTTTTCCCCTTAAACATGTTTGGTATCTGGGTAGCCAGACCTAACAAACCGACGAGACTTAACTAAGTATATAGTAAGATAGTGCCGATGCTTGACGTTGCGGGCAATTTCTTCAATCGTGGAAACTAACTTTAAACTTCCGTAAGTTTTAGCATTCATAAAATTTAGATTGCTTACTCTTTTATGCCATCTATTGATTGAGTTGAAATGGTACTTCTTCAGTTTATTTTTTTTTTATTTCAGAATGAAAACAACAAATTTCTGACTACTACGTCAGATTTGTCTCTCACATAAATTAAACTCAGTGTCTGACCCACCAGTTACGAGTTTATAAAGTGTCAGTCCTCCACAAGCTCGGTTGCTGTGTTAACTTTTTTCGCTTTCACAAAGCGTTGGCGCCAATGCCTAATGAAGGCTGAATACCCCACTTTCACGCACCACCCGCTTTTGTTTTCCTTTTTGGGGGTGGCAGTTTAATCAACAGTAGGTGAAAGTGACGGACTCGGAGCATATTGTCTTAAATGCAACAATAGAAAAATAAGAAGGCAACCTGACAAAAGACGGTGACCTTCAAATGTCGGCAACAGAAATAAACTGATGTTTCTAGATGTTAGGCACATGTATATCTACAATAAGGCCATAAATAAATAAAAATAAACATACTATTTTCGTTTCGTACATTGAAGAACGCTTAATGGGTCAGGTTAAAATGGAGATGGATCAGATCATCACAGATTAACATCTTTCTCCTCGATCTCTGTGATTAGAACTTTAAAAGCTGAGGACATTTATACTTTCGGTACAAAAAATATTTAAGTTATTTTTTTAGTCACTCGGTATGCTAAGAGTTTTGCGACATATCAATTAGCTGAACAAAGGTAGTAAAAACTTGATGCATGACTGCCCGAAATAAACAAAGCAGACGCTTTCGATGTATCGAAATAAGCACACCATTATCGTTCATGTTTATTATCTGATCAAAGGCGGAGCAGTCGATAACATTACTATTTCGAAAGAATCTATTTCTTCTGAATGTCAATTTTCTGGAACGTACTTTTGGACAAATATACTGAGAGCTTCATTACATCATTTTTAGACAGCTGTTCCTGAAATAGAGACACTTTGTTTGAATTCTAAAGAGATATTCATCTGATTCCGATCCTGTTCCAATAATAGTGCCCCGCAATGATGGATTACTATTTGTGCTTTAATTACCGCGTAAAATACATCGAATACACGTCACAATCATCGTCGATGCGTTTATCGAATGTTCAATTGTTTGATTGCTGCGCACGCTGTGCTGGTGAAATTTAAGCTTGTGCTGTACAACGATTAATATTCAAGTCAATTTTAGGCTTATAAATTGCTAATTGAGTGCGTTTCCAATATACGTACATAGGATAGATAAACTGGGGCGCATTCGTTGAAACCTTAGACAAGGCACGTTGTTTTGGTGCCCTGGGAAAACGTAGTCAATTAAACAGTTCTTCTGGAAAATTTTATACATTTTTCAATTAATCTAAATTATTTGCTCTAATTAAACTGAATTTTCAGTTTAACTGAAAATAATATGCTATTAAACTAATTTGCTTAAAAATAGCAAACCATGTACCTGTTTTATTAAAATGATCAATTAGTTTAGGTAAAAGTGTTTTGATGATTTATCCTATTTAGATTTAAAAGTATGTTTGGATAAAATTTGGAATTCGAAAGAACAAATTGCAATCTACTGAATGATGTACCTGCATTACGTGCTCTTACAAATGTTAGATATCAATAAATTTGGAAAACTTGATATTGATATATGGATGTTTTCGAATTAAAATAAAAAATGTTATACCACTAACAAAAGTAGATATTTTGTATTTTCATTGATTATGAGTTTATTATATACTAAGTGACATATAAATCCGAACACCCAGTTTAAATCGTTTTATTTTAATAAAATTTTGTATAAGTACTTAATGAAGCATAATAAGTAAATGATAAAAATTTCAAAATGATTGCACTGCTTTAAAGCCCTTTGACCTTTAATAATGTGTGGATGCACCCTGATGTGCTACGCATTCTCCAACGCGCCTAGGCATGCTTCTGATCAGGTGGTCAATGTCCTCCTGTGGTATCTCATTCCAGGCAACCACCAACTCCTCTCGAAGTGCTTCTAGAGTCTGAGGAGGACGTTGCAAATTGAGCAATCTCCTACCCATCATATCCCACACGTGCTCAATTGGGGATAAGTCGGGAGATCTTGGTGGCCATGGTAACAATGTGACATCATTATGTTGAAAGAAGTCTATTGTGACTCTTGCAACATGTGGTCGGGCATTATCTTGTTGGAAAGTTGGATCTGCCAGGGTGTCAAGATAGGGTAAAAGATGGGGTTCTAGAACTTCGTAGATATAACGCTGCGCGTTCATGTTACCTCTGATGAAGATTAAAGGTGACCTGGAACCATAAGCTATAGCACCCCAAACCATAACTCCAACAGTGTGATGAACATGTCTTTCAACAAAAAAACTGTGGATTCCTCCTTTCACCACGTCGCCTTCTAACCCTGGCACGACCATCGTGCATGCCTAAACAAAATCGAGACTCGTCACTAAAGACAATACTGTTCCATTCCTGTTCCCAGAGTGACCGTTGTCTCCACCACTCAAGGCGATTACGTCGGTGTTCTCGAGTTAAAGGGAGGACCCAGTGTGGCCGGTATGAAAACAAGCCAAATCTTTTTATTCGAGAAACAGGTTATAATATATCATCATTCACTAGAAGCAATGGGAAAGATATACTCATTTTGATAGTTCATTAAAGTAAATTAATGTACTCATTCCGAGTAAACGGTTTAATAAATTTAATTAAACGCCTGCGTTTTGTTACTTGAACTAGTTTCATAGATTCAAGTAAACTGTTTTAGATATCTGAGTTTAATTAAACCAATTAAACTTGCGAGCTGTCCAACAGTTAATTAATTCTTTTATTTGGCATAAATAATTTTTTTCCTAGTGTGGCGGCGACAACAATACCACTAGTAGGTGTACGAAATAGCGATTAAATTTTCACGCTTATTATAGTCATTTGCATATTGTGAGAAAAATGGAAAAAACGTTTTTAAATATTAAGAAATATGGTGGTGGTATATTTTAGATTATGTAGTTTATTCCCACATATGGGATTAGTTCTGTGGTGTTCCCACATGTGGGAATAAACTACATAATCTAAAATGTACCAATGTGGGATCAGTTCTGTGGGGTTTTGTTTATAGATTATTTGCTTGAGTGACAGTAACCGTTACAATCTGCCTATATACATACAGACCGCTTTCATCGAAATATCACCTTTGTTTCGTCTTCTGAAGTTACGTTTTCCGTAATAATTATTTTTCCCTCTTATTTGTCTTTCTTTTTGCGTATTTTTCGAGCAATCTACCATCGAGGGTGAAAAAATGTGCCTTTTTGTGAGGGATAAGGGATGCTTTTGTAGCTAAGCTTAATTCGGGACATCATAGAACAGTGAAACTGGACGATTGCTGATAAAAATCATCTGGAATGGAAACGCTTGGTAACATAAAACTTGCGTCCTAGCATTTACGACAGTTCTAAAGAAATTTTTTGAATGTGTGAAAACACTTGCAGAAGCATTTGATAGCAGTATTCAAAGGTCGTGGCAGGTGACGCTGCTCTAGGGATAGACCGATTTCGATTACACTGTGAACAATGAATGTATAATAAGATAAAACCTAACAGCCATTTTCAGTCCTGGCCTGTATCTGCATCGTCGAGTGATTGCATTTTGTTATACTCGTATGTTTGATATTATTTATAAAGATGACACATTATTTGATGTGCTTTTCCCAAAGACATCTGTTTTTACATGGATTTATAAGGGTCACAGATTGGACTATAACGCGATAACACTTTATAACGAAGTACCCCAGGCATTGAAATCACTAAATTACAATGAATTTAAAACAGAAATTGAACAATTTATTTCAGAAAAGTACTCACCTGTACAGTTTGACCGCTCACTTCGCAAAATGTTTCTTTTTCTGCGTACATCCACATGTATGATCAAATTTTCATTATCTACTGTTACTATACTTAGGTATATTACTTTTACATACGTATAATCGTTTTTGTATTTTCAAGAGTTAAGTGGCAGAATAATTTCAAGCTAAACTTCGCCCTTTAATAAAAGACGTTTCTTATTACTACGAAGGATGTCTTTTAAGTTTTGCATATGGAAATAAAACAATACGGTAGGTAGTTTTAAATGAATTTGTTGTTTTTCGAAGTATTCTCCACGAATATTAATACACATCTGCATGCGCTCGAACCAATTGTCAAAGCACTTATTCCACTCGATTGCTGGCAGATGCAAAACGACATTTTTGAATGCTTCAACTGCTTCTTCTGGTGACTGGAACCTTTGACCACGCAGTCTGTTTTTAATTTTCGGGAAAGTAAAGAAATCGTTAGGACTTAGATCGGGACTATATGGAGGATGTTCCAATAATTCCACGTTTTCTTCCATTAAATATTGCCTTGTTTTTTGGGCTGTGCGCGAGCTTGCATTGTCTTGGTGGAGGATGATTCTTCTTTCGGTATTGATTTTTCAAAGCTCGGTGATGACTTTTGACAAACAAATGGTGGTATACCAATCCGCAGTAAAAGTTATTTGCTCTATAAGAGGAATTGTTGCAATATGACTTTTGTTGGCTTTTCTTCACCTTGGAACACCCAAACAGCTGACTGTCGTTTATTTTCTGGTTCATAACAAGAAATCCACGATTCATCACCACTAACAATGCTGTACACATTTGTGAGTTTCCGGAATTGAAACGGTCAAGCGTTTTTTGACGCCAATTAACCCTGACTGCTTTCTGCTCTTCAGGCAACAGATGGGGTATCCAACGAGAAACTAATTTTTTTACTCCCAATTCTTCATGTAAAATTTTTTGAATTGAGGTCTTTGAGATCTTCAAGGACGCCTTAATCTCGCGATATGTCACATGTCTATCTTCAATGATGAGTTTGCGCACAGCATCGACGTTTTCTTGGGTGACTGCCGTTTTTGGTGTATCCACCTTGGATTCGTCGCTAAGACTCACCCGTCCACGTTTGAATTCCCCATACCAACGGAAAAATGTCGACTGATGTGGCGCTTCGTTGCCGAAAACAGACAGTAACTCAGCAAGGCATTCTTGTTGCGATAATTGTCTCTGAAAGTTGTAATAAATTATGGCGCGAAAATGTTCTCGGTTGAGTTCCATTTTTCTAATGACTTGGTGACACTTAAAAATTAACTGTAGTGAGAACATTGCACGTATTGTTGTGAAACTATGAATTTAAGTTTACTAAAGAGTGAGGTTAAGATTCAGTGCTGACGTTCGATCCGCGCGGCCTACTATGTTTCTATATGCAAAGCTTAAAAGACATCCCTCGTATCATTATTCCCAGAGGGCTCTACCTTCCTTTATTCTGACATTTTCGTATAGTACCAAACTCCATGGGCAACAGAATATGATGAAATAAATTCATAAAGTTGCTTGTGTGGGAAAACAATTTCTGTAGAAATGTTTGAACTTTGATGCAGTCGCTTGTACAACTCGAGCTGGTGCAAGTGCAGTATGCATAGTATCGGCAGATTTTTGAAAATATTCCTTTGAATTTGTAGTTTGTCACTGTTGTCACCAGATGCATTTTCTGTATCTCTGTTTTTCAGAAATTAAACAAAAGCAGTCAAAGAAAGCATTCTCGTGCCCATCATTTTGCTTTAAGTGTTGAAAAAATATTATTGTCCAGTATACAGTTACGTGTGTAGTCACCGCTCCGTAATCGATAGTTTTACAAAAATATATATACAAGCCTAGATTACAACAATACGTTGTGTGTCTAGCCACCAGTACACTTGTTTGCGGCCCATTGAATCACCCGAACTTAAATACACTCTATTGTGTACGGAAATAAATAAGTAGGCATCGGAGGATTATGGGTATCCGCGAATATTATACAGGGTGGTCCATAAGTCCTTTGAAATTTCAAATTTGAATAAAATTTAACGGGTGAGCGTGAGCGGCGCGGGCGAGGTGGGGGCAGTATCTTCAGTGTCTGGGAACTCAGTCGCCATGGAGTGTTTCACTGGAGCGGATCGTGCTTTTTGTGTGCGCGCGTTTTATCAAAATAATGATTCGGCAACCATTGCGCGGCGTAAATATCAAGAATACCACAATTTACACAATTTTACAAAGTGTCCAACAGCTCAAACGATTAAGAACTGGGTTGCTAAGTTCGAAGAGACTGGTTCGACGTTAGATAAACTGCGGTGTGGTCGACCAAGGACAACTCGTATTGAAGAAAACATCAACATTGTGGCACAGTCTGTTCGTCAAAATCCTACCCAGTCTACTCGTAAGCGTTCCAGTGCACTAAACGTACCCAGAACACCTTTACAGCTGCTTTTAAGGAAAGATTTACGTCTGCACGCTTACAAAATTCAGTTAGTGCAGGAATTAAAAGATAATGACGCTATTCAGAGACTAAACTTTGCGAATGAAATGTTGAATCGATTTTCTTCGCTCAATAATGTGTTGTTCTCGGACGAGGCTCACTTCCATTTAAACGGGCATGTAAATAAACAAAATTGCCGTTATTGGAGCCCCGAAAATCCAAGGCGTAAGCATCAGAAGCCCTTACACAGCCCTAAAGTTACAGTTTGGGCTGCTATGTCAGCGCATGGCATCGTAGGCCCTTATTTGTTTGAGGACGACAGAGGTCGCGCATTAACTGTTACTTCGGAGCGGTATGTAGCAATGATAGAAGAGTTTTTGACAACAGCGTTGCAGAATTTTCCAGGCTATAATACGCAGACCTACTTTCAACAGGACGGAGCAACTGCCCACACCTCCAACACTTCTATGCCCGTCGTCTGTCAACTTTTTCCCAGCAAGGTAATTTCTCGAAGAGGAGACATTTCCTGGCCACCACGTAGTCCAGATTTGACCCCAATGGACTTCTTTTTATGGGGCTACCTCAAGAGTAAAGTGTACGACACCACTCCGCGATCAGTTGATGTCCTGAAAGAAAATATCCGAAGAGAAATGGCAAGCATTACAGTGTTGACTTGCCGCGCAGTCATCGACAATTTTAGACGTCGTTTATATGAGTGCCGTGATCGTAATGGATTGCATTTAGACGATGTGATTTTTAAAACATAATTCCCATTCAATAAAGATTATAACAAAATATAATAATTCTTCATAATGTAGCTAGTTTGGTTTTATTCCTTTTTTTCCAGCTCAAAGGACTTACGGGCCACCCTGTATATCAATCGATCTCTAGCTGTAATCTGTAATGTAATCAAATTCGGCGACAGATCTCCCTATCATAACAGTGGGCTAGTTCATAGCGTTCACTATGTGTGTTTCACAAATTCTAGTCATCACATATGTTTTGCGTTTCTTTTGTACCTCCAATAATTTCGACGGCTTTAATAATAATTAATCAGAACAACACCATATGCGAACCATATTCTAGAATGCATATTTTATCTAATTTTTAATAAATATAAAATTTTTTGACATCGCGATGGCATTTTGTTTCCTATAACTATAACGAATGAGGATGGTGGCGCACATTGTTGCTAATGTTTTTATTCACAAACAGAGTAATAAATCAGTATTAGCGCTGTTGAACTATCACGGCTTTGCATTTGCAGTCATTATCGATTCCGACGCAGGGAGGATTATTTAAGTTTTTTATATACACTCGGTTTTGAAACTTTGTTCAACATGCATATTTATCATAAGTTCGTGCGGTTTTTAGTGGTAAAAATATAAATTTTTATTGAGAAACAATAAGACTATTTAATTACCATCACATTTAATGACCTTTTGCCAACGTGGAATCAATTTTTGTATACCGGTATTCTAGAACTCCCTGGATTTGGAGTCAAAAAATTGGTGTACTGCGTTTATTACATCATCTCGAGTTGTGAACTATCAGTGCCTCATAAAGTTGTCATGAGACAAAAAAAGGTGATTATCACTGGGCGAACTGTCGGGAGAATATGGCGGGTGCGGTAAAGTTTCCCTGCCGAGTTCAGAAATTTTTCCTCGGGACACTTTTGCGGTATGAGGCTTGGCGTTATCCTGCAAGAATATCTTCCGATTGATCAAAGAAAGCTGTTTCTGGATGAGTGCTGCTTGTACTCGTTGAAGCTGCTAACAATACAAGTTAGCAGTGATGGTTTGACCCCTTTCCAAAAACTTATAATCGACAGTTCCAGTTACTGCCCACCAAACACTTAACTTCCACGTCTTTCCTAGCTGATGAAGCTGCAAACGAATAGTTTTAGGACTCACTCTGAACATTTCTGCAAGTTCTTGGCACGTTGTCCTGGAATTTGCGTCCACAGCCTGTCGAAAATCCTCGTTGTTCATGATTTTTGGTCTGCCTGAGCGCGGTTCATGGCTCAAACTGAGATCTCCCGAAGAAAATTTTTTGAACCACTTCTATGCTGTTCCATCACTAACGGCATCATCTCCGAATGCCGTAAATATTCTTCGCGCCGCCGCTGCAGCTTTTGTACCAAGTTTGTACTCATACAATAAACAACTTCGAATTACTGTTTTATTCGTCGCCATTTTCAATTATTAAAACTAGGTATGTAACAATTTCCAGCAACTTTTTATGTGTGTGAGAAAAGAAGGATTCATACTAAAGTGACAACAGGTAACAAACAATCGCTGTCGATCAACAACATCCATGGCAATGTGCGATATACGAACTTACTTTTTTATCTGATAGAATGCATTTCTGGCCTCCTTGATTGTTACAGTTTTCTATTGCTCCGTGTCAGCGCTCTATTTTGAGGTTATATTACAAATACCTATTAGCATCAAATTGTTCATGGTTTTAATTTATATCATCTGTTATATCCGCCTGAAATTTCCTACAATTAAAAAAACAAAGCATCACAGTATAAGAACGCTGACAAGAAATCTAGAAACACACCAGCTTTTCTGCAGGAGAGAAAATACTATGAAAATCAAGGAGGCCATAAAGACGCTCTACAGTTTTAGGAACCACTGACGATACAGCCCTTGGATAGACGATTTTTTGGTTCAAAACATAAGGAATCTGCATGGCTTCTTGTAATCAGATAATGTACTAACTGAGCCTTAAAATTATGGGGAATTTGGAAAACATCGAAAAACAAGAAACATTTTAAAATTTTTCGCCCATAACTCCACTGGTCTGTTTTCTCTCTTCTTTCAAACGCCTTCCCAGCGGAGTTTCGTGACGTTGTATGGAGCGAGCTTGCTTGTTGGACCGTTCGCGACGCAATCGCGAGTATTTGATACACGTCTGGAAGCACCTGCTGCCATCTAGACCACTTCCATTGAAGTCCCCGAAATCTTTGGAATATTTCTCGACATGGCGATATGAGGATAAATATCCGACCAGATGGCGGAAGTAGTTAGTCCCAATCGAGACAGTCAAACAACGCGGAATTAAGATGAAATAATATTACAGTGGACATAGTTTTGATTTGTTATAAAACAGTTGCAAGTGTTATAAATTCGTGTAGCAAAAATAAATTTGGCTTTGAACAGTTAAACAGCGGTGCAGCACTTGCTCATGCTGAATAGGATAGCCTTGTTGGTTTGACAGTAGTATTCGCTTGACTGTCAGATGTTATAGTTTGTCGATCGAATTCTGCGAACTGTCAAATTTGTTAGAGTTAGGGTTACGGCTATTTAGCATTAAAGAACTACGCTGCTTTATGTGTACCAAAATGGAAGAAAGTAGCAAATGCATCGTGCATCACTGCTTCTGTGGCATGTCTTTGTATATATCTACTATACCGTACTGAAAGATATACCGCATTAATAGAGGTATTATCCATTTAAGTACCGGACTATAGCAGAATGCATTCACAATCTGTTTTCATTTTCTTCTCTACAACAATCCTTTTGTCGCATATTTGCGTGGGAAGTATAACGCGTGATTTTAAATTAGGCAATTTCCATGATTCCAGTACCTCGCATTAATTTAACGTAAACACTAATCCGTGAGCTTTGCTGACGCAAGGGGTGGCACGGCACGTTGTTTGATGATTCCTCCCTTCTGTGTGACTGATTAAATAATGAAGCCTGTATAAGATTAAATGAGAAACTGATATAGAAAATTATATAACGATTTAGACACCCAAGAGGCAGCCACTGAATGACTTGTTGGTAATAGCAACTTGGTCCAGTAAATTATTACA